TCCATTCAGCCCTTGATGGACATTCGGGCTCTACCTTTGGGCCGCTGTGAATCGTGCTGCTGTGACTGTCACTTGCCTTTTTGACTTCACCGTTGCATCTCAGCCTTCTGCCCAGCTCTCCGTGCTGTCTCCTGGTGTAGAAGGAGGCTCCTTGTCTGTTGAAGCGTTTCTTTGCTCCTGTGGCCAACCTTGGACTTGCTTCTTCCTGCACTTGCTCAAATGCACCTTTACATCTAGATCCAGGACCCTGAGCTGCCAGGTGGCTACGTTAGCTCATCGCTCTTCCAGCTCTCAACAAGGCCCGTGGGTCTGTTGAAAACATACCACCTTCTTTTAACTTCTCAAAGTTTTTGTAATGACTCTTGGACTTTATCTGAGTTGCAGCCTTTGGAACAGGGAGGACTAGCATTTAAGTTTTGTGGATAAAAGGGCAGCTAATGCTGAGTCCTGCTGAGAACACTTCCGTAGATTAACCCCTCTAACCTCACAAGAGCACCCCCACCTGCCTTTGATCCCATCTTGCAGGTGAGAAAACCGTCCCAAGGTCAATGGCAGATAAACAGCAAAGTGGGGAATGAGTCCAGGAAATCTGGCTCCAGACCCCAAACTCTTGTCCATGTTGTTCTCCCCCATCTTGGGTTAAAGCCAGAGGTTCCCCGGAGGTGAACGAGGTAGCTGGGTTACAGATCCAGGTTTCTTTCTTCTGGATCGACACACCGCCATCCGCCACACTGTTCTCTCCTCCAGGAGCCAAATCTGTACCCCCTGCCGCCACCACCAAGAAGGAAGTGAGCTCAGCTCTTGACGCCCTGGCCTGGAGCCTTTAACAGGACAGGTGCTCAGAGAGCAAACAGCAAATGTGTATGTGGCTTTTGCAGATTCCGCTGCCACCTGATTTCAGCCCCAGCACACGTGCACACATAGGTGCACACACGTGCACATGCACACCATGTGTCAGGCTTGCCTTTTTGGGAGACGGTAGTGGTGTCCTCTTGTCCCACTGGCAGAGCCCCGGTCCTGCCTTGCAGCAGTGGCTGAGGGATGTTAGCAGGGACCTGAGCCCAGTGCCCAGGACCTCCAGGTGGCCTTGTGGCCTTGGGGGGCCCTGCAGCCTCTGGGCTGACTCTGCGCTGAAGGAGGAGGACAGCTGGACAAGTCACCGACTTTGTGAGCTCCAAGTGGAGCGCCTGGCTTGTTCTTCACGCGGTGTCACATTGCCTTGCACACTAGTACCCTGCTTTCTCTCTCTGTCCTGCTGTTAGTGGGCATTTCCGTTGTTTCCAGGCTGGGGCTGTTACAAATAAAGCTCCTGTGAACGTCTTTGTCCGCATCTTGTGCTGTGCAGGTAGCCACCTGCCTTCTCCACTCACCAGTATGTCTCAGTCTTCTAATCAGCCTCGTCGCGTCTGGTTGGGCGGCTGTTTGCGGAGCCACCCTGCACCTGCTGGGGGTGTGCTCAGGAGGCAGCTGCTGTTGCGGAGAGACAGAAGGACCCCCGTGTCCCAAAGCTGCTCCGAGCAGTGACACTCATGTGGTCCCGCGGCCCCGCCTTCTCCCCAGCACTCCACACTCAGGACTTTCCGTCCTAGCCTATCCGTTTTTCGGGATCCCTGCCCCTTCTTGCCACCCCTGCCTCCCCTCCCCACCCCCAGCCCGCCCTGGCATCTCTGCATCTCTCGGCCGCGTTGCTTAGGACGCGCCCCACCCTGCCCCAGCCTCTCGGCAGGTCAAGGAGGAAGCTGCGTGGTGGTCTTGGTTCCAGGCCTGCCCGTTGGGAAGAATTCTGTTTCGTGGGCTCATGTGAGTTCCATCTGCACTTTGCACAGCCTTGTTGGAGAGGTAGGAAGGTAGAAAACGCGCAGGTGAACAAGGGAGGGCTCCAAGGGGCTGTTGTTGCTTCAGAAGCCATAAGCTGTGTGCCATGTTGGAACCTACATGCTCATCTTTCTCTGACTCTGGAGCCTCCCCATCAACCCATCAGTGTCTTCATTATAATTCCTTTCCCTCTGGCCTGACTCATTTGCATAGTGCACACCTGCCCTCTGCAACCTTTCTTCTCTGGCTCCCCCTGCCTGGTCTCCTTGGCCTGACCTTCCTCCTGCTTGTGAAGCTCTTATTGCCCCTTTAGGTGAAAATCCAACCTCCTTCCTGTCCATTGAGGCCCCACATGGTCTAGGCTTGCTCGCAGCTCAAGCTTCGACCTCCCCTTGCCCACTGTGCTGTGACCACTAGATTTGGCCACCATTGTTGCCCTTCAGCTCTCCAGATGCGCAGTCTCTGCCCCCAGGGCCTTTGCACGTGCTGGTGCTAGCCTGTGATGTTTGTCCTCGTCACCTGCCCACCCCTGGGTCCTTCAGGTCTCAGTGTAAAGGCTCTTGCAAGGGGATTTTCTGCTCCCACAGTCTACAGTGGGTCCCCTTGTGGTGCTCTCAGGCCCCATTGCATCTGCCATGTCACTTATCATGGTCTCTAATGACACCATCTCCGTCTGGTGTCTGTAAGTTAGTGAGAGCAAAATTGGGTTGTATCTGTTGACCATCCACACCCCAGTGACTCTTAGCCCACAGTCAGGTACACGGCAGACGCTCCATAAACACCGTGTGTGTGCGTGGTTGTGTATGCCTGTGTGCGTGTGTATACGTACACAAAGATATGTGGGTACCCCAAGCAGGTGGCCCTGTCAGAGAAAGTATGGACTAGAGTCTGCCCCATGGTGATACTTCTAGTCCCCTTAGCAGAGCCTCTGAGTCTTGTCCTGCAGTGGGAAGGTGGCGTGGCATCATGGAAAGGACATGGGACTTCAGAGTCCGAAAACCGGGATTGGAGTCCCAGCTCTGATAGCACTTGACTGTACGTCTTGGAACAAGTCTGTCTCTGGGCCTCAGTTTTCTGTGTCTGTAAGATGGGATTGATGTTAGGAACCAACAGTAATAATACCCATTCCCAGTGGCTGGAAATGACACTGAAATAGGGTCAAGGATACAAAGCATTTTGTACTTCGTAGGGTTAACAGGAATGAGCTATGGTTTGGGAAAGTCTTTGTCTATGGGGGAGTCAGTCCCTGCTCCATCAGCCTGGCGTGTCTCCCATGTGGGCAGCCCTAGTGAACGGACGGGTGGGGTGGGACAGCTGCCCTCTGGAACATCCAGATTTGTGCCTGTCACACAAAGGCTCAGACTCTTCAAGGGCGGGACCCATGTCCTATCTGCGGTTGTGGTCCCGGCAACATTACACACCGTTTTGGACACATAAATGCTTGTTCTTGGTGGTGACCACCTGCTTGGAGATGTCCAGGACAGGAGAGGGGAAAGATTCAGATGGGATGGAGCACCTTGGACGAGGGAGTTGTGTCGGGATAACAGCTGAGGACTCACACAGAATGGTTCTTCTCAGACGCCTGCTATGTTGGCACATGCCCCCCAAGCACAGGAGAACCAAGTGAGTCTGTGGTTCCCAGTACTTCTGGGAGGCAAGGATTAGCTGTCCACCCCAGTGCCTGGAGGAGGCTAACGGTCCCCGAAAATATCCGGCCTTAATCCCTCAAACCTGTGGATGTTACCTTGTATGGTAAAATCCTTACAGATGTGTTTTCATTTAAGATCTTGAGATGGCGGGGGGGCTTCTTGGGCAGCTCAGTCATTAAGCATCTGCCTTCAGCTCAGGTCATGATTCCAGGGTCCTGGGATCGAGCCCCACATCAGGCTCCCTGCTCAGCAGGGAGCCTGCTTCTCCCTCTCCCACTCTCCCTGCTTGGGTTCCCTCTCTCGCTGTGTCTCTCTCTGTCAAATAAATGAATAAATAATCCAAAAAAAAAAGGGATCTTGAGGTGGGGGCACCTCGGTGGCTCAGTCGGTTAAGATCTTGAGATGGGGAGGCTATCCTGTATTAGTCAGGTCCTAAATGCCATCATTGTGTCCTTTTAAGAGGGAGCCACAGAGAGGTCTGACAGACAGAAGAGGAGGAGGCCATGGGACCATGGAGGCAGGGACTGGAGTGATAAGGCCCGAAGCCAAAGAACGGTAGCAGCCGCCAGAAGCCAGAAGAGGGAAGGGGCTCATTCTCCCCTAAAACCTCTGGAGGGAGCACAGCTCTGACAACATCTTGACTTTGGACTGATTTTAAACTTCTGGCTTCCAGAACTATGAGAAAATATATTTCTAGTACATTAAGCTATCAGATTTGGTTGGCCATTTGTTAGAGCACGGTTCATTAACTCACCAGATCACTTAATAAGCACCTACTGTGTGCCAGGCACACTCAGCAAGCACCTACTGTGTGCCAGGCACTGTGCTAGCCAAGGCAGTACACAGTGAATAGTTCAGTGAAGGCCCTGCCCCCTGGGCCGACAGGATACTTGTGGGCCAGGGGCAGGAGGCACACACGATAAACAACTAAGTAACAGACACCACTCCTGCTGTGGGCCAGGCATCATCTTCCATGTGCTTCCTGTGTACTCACTAAATTCATCCTCACAACAGCCGTATGGGGTAGGTACTGTTACTCCCGTCTTGTAGATGTGGAAACTGAGGCACAAAGAGGCTGGTCCGAAGCCACACCAGCCGTAAATGGGAGAGCTGGTGTGTGCGCTCAGAGCCTCTGGAAGATAAGACCTACGAGACGGTAGTTGTAAAAAGTGTCAAAAGGTAGTAGTTGGGGGAAGGGGGCAGGGTTCATTTAGAGGGGGCTGGGAAGGAAGGGCCTCTGTGGGGAGGGGAAGGTTGAACTGAGGCCTGAACAACGAGGAGAGCGAGCCCCGGGGATGTTGGAAGGAAGGGAAGTGCTGGCCCCGCGGCCTGAGGTGGGGATGAGTTCAGAGAGACCCGGGGACAGAGGGGACAGGACGCAGGTGCTGGATCCCGGAATGGGGTGGAATGGGGCGTGGAGAAGGCCCGGGGTCAGGGGCATCTCCGGAGGAAGGGGCGGGTGGGTCAGACTGGGGCAGCAGGGGCGGGGAGGGGCTCACCGGCAGGTCTCTCCTGTCCCCCCCCACCCCCGCCCAGGCATGTCGGAGCGCGAGCGGCAAGTGATGAAGAAGCTGAAGGAGGTGGTGGACAAGCAGCGCGACGAGATTCGCGCCAAGGACAGGGAGCTCGGTCTGAAGAACGAGGATGTGGAAGCTGTAAGTGAGGAGCCCCGACCCCATGTCCACCCTCCCTGCCAGCAGATAACGACGGGAGACGGGCTCCTCCCCGCAGGCAGTTCCCCTTCTCTCCCTTGGCCTCATACTGTGGGCTCTGTGGGGCAGGGGTCCTGCCCGAGGCCCGGCAGCTCCGATGCTGAGGCCATGGGGAGGATCCTCAGCCGGATCTGCATGGTCACAGATGGGGATCATGGCACTGCCTGGTGACCTGCTGTTCCCACACCCTGGGGAGGTGCCGAGGCCCAGCCTGGCTTCGTTCTGACCCCGAGGCTTCCTCCAAATCACCTGCTTTGTGCCCCTATGTGAGTAGGCCAGCATGGTCCAGGCTGCTCCAGAACCCCATACAGTGTCTCTACCTAAAATAGAAAGACACCCCTTTCTCAAGGCATGTTAGTTCTATCTGTTAGGAAATCATCATACTATACTGACAAAACACTTAACCTTCCATCTGTCATAAAATTATTATAGTAAATATATAAATTGTCCATCTCTGGCATCAATAGTTGTAAGAATATGAACAAACTTCAAACAAATCAGGATGTCTCCAGTATGATGGCACGCCTGTAGAGGATTTGCCCTTGTGCAGTGCACAACGTGAGCTACTGTATGTGGCAGCCCCATAAATGGCCTTCCTCTTTCTCCAGCTGCAGCAGCAGCAGACCCGGTTGATGAAAATCAACCATGACCTCCGCCACCGTGTGACAGTGGTAGAGGCCCAAGGGAAGGCCCTGATCGAACAGAAGGTGGAACTAGAGGCAGATCTGCAAACCAAGGAACAGGAGATGGGCAGCCTACGGGCAGAGCTTGGGAAGCTGCGAGAGAGGCTGCAGGGCGAACTCAGCCAGAATGGAGAGGAGGAGCCTGAGGTAAGTGGGAAACCAGCTACTGAAGAAAATGGGAAGGTAGGTCTGTAATCTGGCTCATGGTGGGCAAGGCTGCCTTGTTTTCTCCATTACACTTGGGGGAAGTGGGAGGAACTTGGGAGGAGCTATGTTGTGTGGTTAACTGCATGGATGCTAGAGCTGGTCTGCTTTGGTTCAGATCTAGCCTGTTACTACCTCCATGATCTTGGATAAATTATTTAGCCTTTCTGTGGCTGTTTTCCTTGAGTCTAAAATGGGGACGATAATAGTACTTAGCACCAGATTATTATGAGAATTAAATAAGTTAGTTCATTTAAAGTGTTGCCTATTATTACAATGATTGTCTGGAGGAGTCAAAAAAGCTTTTCTAAGAGGTGACTAAAAGAATGAGAGTAAACAAGTAAATGGAGAGTGAGTTCCAGGCAGGGGAGTGGCACATGCAAAGGCCCTGTGGCAGGAGAAATTGCAGTGCAGTCGAAGAAGGACAAGAAGGCTAGGGTGGCTGGTATGCAGTATGAAGGGCAGGAAGAAGGTCTGAGTGAGGTCAGAGAGATAGGTAAGGGCCACTCCTGCAGGCCAGGTAGGCCACAGAGTAGAGTTTGGTCTTTTACCTGAGAGCACTGTGCTGGGGACTATGGAGCTTCAAAGAGCTTACAGTCCAGGGCGGGAGACAGACTTGGCCACCTCCAAGTGGTGTCACACTTAAGGTGGAAGGAGATTGTCTTTGCGGTAAGAGATTGTCTTTGTCTGGGTTCCCTCGAAGCAAAACTTGAGAAAAGGAAAATGGGCAGGAGGTTTATGTGCGGTGATCCCAAAGATCTGAGGCGTGAGACAGGGAAGAAGGAAAAGTGAATTTGAGTGTGTGTTACTGAGGCTGCGGTGGGAGCTCAGTCTTGCTGGGACCTCTGAGAAGCCCACAGACCATGTCCCAGAACCGTCTTTCTGGAGGAGAAAGGCTTGAAACGTTTATCCACATGCACCTGCCCCCAGTTGGCTAAGGGTGACTCCCGGGGGTATTACCTCCTTGACATTCCTGGGCAGAATTTACAGAGCACAGCTCAGGACACGAGTGGGAAGACATGCAGTGTGTGCTTAAGGTGGGGCCCCATCACATGGCTGGGACCACACAACAGTTGCAGCGAAAATCAGATGGGTCCAGGGCTGCGACTCGGGGGGCTAGAGGTGTCTCTCCCATGGATGTGTCCCCTGGGGGTGTGGGTGCCAGCAACACAGGGATAGGACAGTTAATCCTGAAGGCAGTAGCGTGCAGTTTCATGGAAGAGCTGTCCCTTTGGCTTTGATGTCAGTGTTCACAATGCTAAGATTTTGATAGATGGATGAACATGATGGTTATGCTGCTTCAGGACAGCATAGTGGACCCTTAGGGAAAAGCTCGGAGCTTACTCTTTCTTCCAGCAAATATTTACTGACTATTTCTGGTTTGTAGACACTGTGCTAGTTTCCTGGGTTACAGGTTGGGGAGGTAAGACAGATGAGCTCACCGTCGGCTTGGCCCAAGTGCCAGCACAGTCATTAAGCCAGATACTTAAGTCATTAAGGCCAGATACTTCTAGGTTCTCTGAAGGACAGGAACCTGGGATACAGTTAGGGAGGTAAGGGAAAGAAGTCTTAAAAGGGAGAGGTTAGGGCTTGTTTTTGGCCCAAAGTGACAGAAACCTAAATTAAAAGGCTTTAAGGATTTAAAAAAATAATTTTTTGTTGTATACCTAAAGGCTTTGTGTTAATGTTGGCTTCAGGTATAGCTGGTTCCAGGTGCCCAAATGACACTCTCAGATGTCTCAGCTTTGCTTTCCTCTATGTTAGTGGTATTCTCAGGTGGGCTATGCCATATAGTGGCCCCTGGGACTCTTATCAGCTTTGCAACCCCAGTGAAAAGAAGTTGCCTCTTTCCCAAATTCCCAGCAAGTCTCAGGCAACCCTCTCCTCATCCTGTCCCAGAACCAGTCACTGTGTCCTGAGGTCTAAAATATGCATGGTGTCCAGTCCCAAGTCCCAAGGCTACCTCTCGTGGTGCCTGTCCATGCAGCATGCACTGGAAGTGGGGCCAGGGGAGTTTCTCCAGAGGACAACGACCAGGACTCAGCCCCAAGAAGTACGGAAACAGATGCAGGGCAGACAGAGACAGCAGCTGTTATCTTCGGTGCTGGGAATGCCACACACAGAGCTCTGAGCAGTGGGGAATGTGGATCCCTCACAGGCTGCAGCAGGGGAGTAATGGCATCAGCTCTGAGTTTATGGAGGACAGTTTGAACAAGGAGGGAGCTGATGGCAGAACATGGCTGTGCGATAATCCAGGCAAGAAAGGTGAGGGCTGGACCAAATCTGTGGCAGTGGGATGACGGGGATGAGGCAGATGCCAAAAACAGCCACTAGGCGAAGCTTGGTGCTGTTACCCGACTCCCTTGGTGTACCCCTTTTGGTCTCCCGTGCCTCATGAGGGCTCAGGCCTGTCTCCTCCTGGACGGGTAGGGCTCAGTCCAAACCCAGGTTCTAAGGACGCTGCCCTAGCCACAAGACTCCCAGCCCTGCTCCAGATCTCTTTAGCAGCAAGGACAGGGACATGTCACACCTCCTTGGCCCACCTGCCTGTCCGTTTCAGTTTCTCTTGCTGGCACCAGGGGGTGGGACAGAAACGGAGTAAAGTCAGGTCGCAGTTACAACTAACCCCCTGAGCTGTTTTGCAGAGTCTGTTCCCACACTCAGGACACCTTTGCTGGGTTGGACTCCCTCCCTCGGAGCTAGGAGGAGTTCAAGATGCTTGTCACTCACATAGGGAAGCCACAGGGTGCGGTGGCTTTCCACGTGCTGCAGTGTGACCTGGGGTTCATGGATCACTTTGGTGCTCGGTTTCCTATCTGACAAGTGAGGGGAATGAGCTTGACTTTGGTTCAGTAGATCAAGTAGTGTGGCTGGGATAGAGGGCCTGGGATCAGAAGGCTAGGGCACACATTGAATTCCCAGTGGGAAGCGAGAGCGGTGCAGGTTTTCAGATCATTGAGACGAGTCTTATGGGATGCGTAGGAGGTCTGGAGTGGACTGTGGGGTGGGCTGCTCCAGACAGGAGGAAGGACACGAGCCAGACTGGAGAATGAGCAGGTGCAGCTGGGGTGGTGGGTTCCTCCTGGCCCAAGATTGGTAAGAGGAGATGGGAGCTACGGAGGGATCCGGAACTGGGGAGGAGTCCATTCTCATCATGCCTTGATTACTCCAGTCCAGTAAACAAAGCTTCTGATGTATCTTCATAACATAGTTATTGAGATACAGTTTAACTACTTAATGTATACAATGTGACAGGTTTTAGTATATACACTCTGTCATACAACCAACACCAGCATCTAGAACATTTCCATCACCCCAAAAAGAAACACCATACCCACAAAGAGCCACTCCCCATCTCTGCCTCCCCCAGCCCCTGGCCACCATGAAATTTATTTTTCTGTCTCTACGGATATGCCTGTTGTGGACATTTTAGGGAAACGGAGTCGTGTGACATGTGGTCCTTGAACGCCTTCTTTACTCAGTGTGTTTTCTCGCTCATCTCCCTCATGTTTTCACTGGAAGCTTCCTGCATTTCACAGGTAGACATAGAAACCTCTAAGACTATGATATAGTGGGCTCTCTGTTTAAAGGACTTCATATAAAATCAGTCAGGAAACTAACATTAATAGTTACTACTTGACCTCTCTGCCTTACAAATTCTGGTATCTTAGTAAGTGTGTGTTTGTTGCCGTAAATAAGACAGGCCCTGATGGCTGGCGTATGAGGCCGGGTTTTTTGGCTGAATATGTGCGTGGTGGCTTAGGAGTTACCAGGGGTGGCCAGGACACAAGTCACTCTCCCCTTTGCTGGGCGAGGGGCTGTTCAGAAGTATGTTCAAGGGGCTGCGGGAGCACGTGGCCGTGCTGTGCCCGGGCCGAGGGGGAGTGGGCTCAGGAGGCCAGGCCTCAGGACGCAGGGCCTGGTGGAGGTTGTTGCCTCCCTTTGGCCACTCTGGTCCCGCCGACTTGTCAGCCGGCCTCTTGGGCCTCCCTGGGGAGCACCTGGGACCTCAGGTCATCTCCCTCTGTACCCAAAGTGCCTCCAGGGACCAGCAGACAATCCTCGATAACCCCCAGCCACCTCCGAGGTCCCTCATGGAGTAAGCCTAGAAGACCCACTGCCAATGGGCCTGATTTCCCTGCTGGAAAGAGCTTTTTCAGTCTCTCTCCCAGGGCAGCCCCATCCAAGGGCGCTGCGTTAGTGCCTGCTGGCTTCCAGGAAAGCTGGAGCCCCAAGCTTCCCTCTTCTGGATTTCCAGGCAGTGGTCCCGGAAGTCCGGACTTTGTTTGCAAACCTGTCTGGGAATCCCTCAAGCTCGAGGGCATCGGGTTGCTACCCCGATGAAAGAGCCGTCCATCCCTCCTCCAGAGAAAAAGACCTCAGGCCTGAGGAAGCCCTTGGGTGTCTCGGGTGCTCACAACCTGTGGGGGTGAGCGGGAACCTATTGTGTCTGGAGGGAGTGTGTGAGCCTGAGATTTGGGTCCACGGCCTGGGCTGCCGGAGCCTGTGGGGTCCAGACATGGAAGGAAAAGGGGGTAGGGACTGAGCAGACATGGAAAGAACACGTAAAAGGCAACAGTTGCCACACAGGACCCTCCTGTTAGCGTGTAGATCCAGTGTGACCCAGTCTTCCAATGTTCTTTCCAAAAGGAAGCCCAAGACCCAAACTTGAGTGTGAAATCTCCCAATATAAAACTGTTGGGAAGTAATTCCAGAGAGTTTTAGAACACAGTGAAGGCCAAACAAAATGTCAAGGGGAGGAGTTAGGGAGGGCCCCAGACTTCCTGGGAAACTCCTACGCATTCGTCAAGACCCCATGCACAGAGACCAGATCTGCAGTAACGTCTTCTGTGATCCTTCCCAGTTAGAGTTTGATGTCCTTGCTCCTCTCTTGCCACACAACCCTGTAGGTTTCCCTCTGTGTGTCTCTTCCCTCCGCTCCCACCTGATTCATCTCACCAGCTCGGGGCCCAGGAGGCGCAGAGTTGATGCGCAGTGAATGTTGAATGTTTATTGAGACATCCGATATTTACTGAGATGGCCATTTACTTATTGAATATTTATTATAGACTTTCAGGGATGCTCTGCAGTTCACCTGGGCAGGGGAAGAGAAGGGAACTGGTGCTAGTGAGTCCAGCTGTATACCAGCCGCTTGCCATGCGCGATGTTGGGTAGAGGACCCCGTCCAGCCATGTGGCTCTGTAGGAGACAGACGCTGAAGACGGACCCTGAGCACATCGCACCCCCTGAAGGTGTGGCATCAGCAGATGCCTACAGTAGCATCTTGGGAAGTTAAATCATCCAACATTTCCTCCCCTATTTCTCAAGAGGGAGGAGGCCCCACTCCCTTGCTCAGAAACAGCTTGGGGCAGGGGGGTATCTGTCCGGTGTCCATTTTCTACTGCAGCCACACGTCTCCCCTGCTGCCTGCTGCTCCGTGTGACTCCTGGTCAGACCCCCTCCCCCAGCCTGTGCCTGCTGGGTGACTCTTCTGTCACTTGACCTGCTCAGGAGGGTGGTGTCTCCTTTCAAGTGTCCTTTCCCAGAACAGCCTGTCCTGACTCTCCCAGGACACAGGCATCTCAACTCTGCCTTCCTGGGTCCTTCAACAGCCTGGGTTTGCATCACCATCTGGGTCCAAGTGCCTTTCTCCCTGTGCTGCTCTGAGGGTTTGGGTAGGGGAAGGTCTCTATTTCTTTCTTTCTTTCTTTCTTTCTTTCTTTTTTTTTAAGATTTTATTTATTTATTAGAGAGAGAGAGAGAGAGAGCACAAGCAGGGGGAGGGGCAGAGGGAGAGGGAGAAGCGGGCTCCCTGTGGAGCAAGGAGCCCCACGCAGGGCTCCATCCCAGGACCCTGGGATCATGACCCGAGCCAAAGGCAGATGCTTAACCGACGGAGCCCCCCAGGCACCACAGAGGGCCTCTATTTCAAGCCCATTTCCCCCTGTTCCAGAGCATCCCCGTTGTTGTCCTGAACATGTCCACTCCTTCCGGTGGATGATGCGATACTGGCGGTCCAAGGGTGTCAGAAACGTGGGGGGAATATGGGCCACCTGCAGATCTGGCCAGCTGATTTGGGGGCTGCTTTCAAAAGATGGAAAATAAACCACAAGTGTTGGCGAGGATGTGGAGAAGGTGGAACCTTCCTGTGCTTCCGGCAGAGTGACAGGTGGGGCGGCCACGGTGGGAGGTAGTTTGGCGGTTCCTTGGAGTCACACATACAGTCACCACGTGACCCAGCAGCTCCACCCCCGGGAACCCACCCGGAAGAACTGGGAACAGGTGTTCGGACAAATCCTTATACATGGGTGTTCGTGGCAGCACCATTCACACTAGCCAAACGGTGGAAATGGCCCAAATGCCCATCAGAGGACAAAGGATGAACAAAACGTGGCGTATCCATACGTGGGACTAGTATTCAGCCAATGAAAGGAATAGAGCCCTGTCGCTACAGCGTGGATGAACCGTGAAAACAGGGAAACTGAAAGAACCCAGGCATAAAAGGAGACATGCTGTACTATTCTATTTGTTTGAAATGTCCAGAAAAGGCAAATCCGTAGAGACAGAACACAGATGGTGGCCACCAGGGGCTGGTGGGCGGGGGTGGGGGTGGGGAATTAGGGAATGGCTGTTAATGGGTATGGAGTTGCCTCGAGGGGGGATGAAAATGTTCCAGAACTAGACAGAGGTGGTGATTGCACACCGTTGTGAATGTACTAAACACCACAGAATTGTATATTTTTAAATGGTCGGTTCTCTGTTAAGTGTATATTACCACAGTTTTGTTTCCGAAGCAAAAACCCCTGCTGTGAGAAAGAGGGAGGACAGGGTTTGGATCTGGCCTGAGGCAGGTGACTTAGCATGGTAGGATCCATCTCCCCTGCCCCTCCCCTCCCGTCTTCCACTGACCTCCAGCACACAGCAGGGGAGGCTGAGGGCCCGACCAGAAGGCCAGTAACACATGGGAAAACGTATGTGACTTAATGCCCAATGGAAAAAGAAGAGAAAATTGTGCACAAGCTCTAACAGTTTTGGCCAAATTAGCAGCGGTCTTATTAGCAATGGTCTTAGTAAGAATGTGAGGAGAGGATGTGGGAAAAGGAAAGCAGATTGATGAGGGAGGGTGGCAGCATTGGAGTCGTGCTGTTTCTTCTCCTTGGACTCCTTCTAATGTTATTTGTAATAAGACCCTGAGTCAGGTGGGGAGGTGCCAGGACGGCAGGTCTAGCTATTGAGAAGGCGAACAATGAACAGGTGGCCGCCGGCTTTCATCTCCAGAGGGACGCTGACTGCACTGAACGTGAGCACAGGCCGCCTGCAAGTTCCTAAAATAGCTGCAAAGGCCCCAGGAGGGTGGGAAATTCGGGCTCTGGCAGGATGTGGAGTGGGAGCCGCTGGCGGCCGCCAGGAATTCATTAGCGGCATCTCTGCCTCCTCCAGACAGAGCCGGGCGGGGAGGAGTGCGTCTCGGAGGCGGAAAAGGTGGCCATGGATCTCAAGGACCCCAACCGCCCCCGGTTCACACTGCAGGAGCTGCGGGACGTGCTCCACGAGAGGAACGAACTCAAGTCCAAAGTGTTTCTATTGCAGGAGGAGCTGGCATACTACAAGAGGTGAGCGGCCCCGGGCACGCCCCGGCGGGCTGCTTTTTTGGGGCTGCAGGAGGTCTTGGAAAGACAAGGATTGCCCCCGTCTCCATTCTGGGGTCCCTGTCTGTTCTGAAGGACTTACACCCACACTCACAAGCCTTTTCTGAAACTCTGGGGCCCAGGTGCATTTTATAATTCAGAACTTCCCAGCGGTTAGAAAGGAGTAGTCCACAGACTGTGTATACGTAACGTACACCACCAGCATCTGGAGCAGCTCCCCAAAATCACACACGTTAATGTTTTCGCAGAGGAAGATGCGAATGTGCATACTAAATGGGACAAACAGCCATGATAATCGGGCTCATGAGGGCTCCTGTCACATTCTGCCACCAAATGAAGGACCAAAAAATGAATTTTCATTTTTAGAGGTTTTTGGATTTTAGAATTGTGGATCAGAGATGGTAGAGCCGTACGGCCTAAGTATTTGTTCATTCAGCCCACGGCCAGTGAACTTGCATTTATCAGAGCTGCACTGTCTGGTATGGTGACGTAGCCACTAGCTGTGTGGCTGCTCACATTTCAGTGAGCTAAAATAAAAGTTAAAATCCAGTTCCTCGGGTGTGCCCGCCACATGCTTGTTCAGCTTCATACACACTGCCCCTCTATGGGTTTCTTAAAACAGTCCCTACTTAAAAAAAAACAACAAACAAACAAAAAAAAAGGTCCCCACTTCTTTCTACCTCAGGACCTTTGCATATGCTGATCCTGCTATTGGGAATACATTCCCCTTGGCTCTTCCCATGGTTGACTCCCTGGTCATCAGGGTTCAGTTCAGAGGTCACCTCCTCAGAGAGCTGTCCCTCCCCGTTACTACTCATGCAAAGGAGTGCCCAGTTCTAGCCACCGTCACTTTCCTTGGCTTTACTTTTTTCATGGCCCTTCACCATCTTACTTTGATCCTATGGACATATTTTATTGTCTGTTTCCATAACAGACTATGACAACAGGAGACCAGAAAACATTTGTCTTGTTCATGGCTAGGTTTCCTAGTCTTAGAATGGGGCTTAGTGTGGAGTAGATGTGCAACAAATACTTCTTGAATGGAGAGCCAGAAGGGAGGACAGATGTACCAGAAGTGGTCCCTGATCCAGTAGGGAAAATAAGAGAGGCACAGAAAATATAGTGCCACATATTTTTATTGAAAATCCCCTATATGCCTGGCACATAAGAAAATTTTACTGATACTATGTGCGCTGGCTGTTCAAAGGGAAAGATCACTTCTCAGGGGTGGGGTAGAAATCAGGAAGGCTTCGTGTAGGGGTTGGCCTTTGAACTGGGCTTTCTCTAAAGGATAGGATACTGTTCAGGTATGGGAGATGTTCAGGAGTGGGTGTCATATTGCAGATGGAAGAAACCACAAGGTATGGAGACAGCATTTGGTAAGGAAAGGAGAGAAGAAGTAGTTCTGTGTGGCTAGATTCCTCAAAGGAAACTGAAAATTGCCTTTTTGAGATGTGAGTTCCTTTCCTGAAATTCTTCACATTTGACCAACTGGGCCAAAGAGACCACAGGCACCCACGTCCACTGCCTCCAGGGCTGACCCCTTCTCTTAGCTGGCCGTGCCCACTGCTAAGAGGCCAGTGCCCCAAGCAAAGAGACTGTTGGGGTACAGGCCACTTTTGCCATCTTCCTGGGTCCCCCCTATTCCCAGTGTAACCACCCAGACCATCAGACGATACCCTTCTGGAATATTCCAGCTCTTGCAGAATTTTTGACTCTCTTATCTCACGCCTCTCAACTCCTTCCAGTGAAGAAATAGAAGAGGAAAATCGAATACCCCAACCTCCAGCAGTGGTCCACCCGAGAATATCCCCCCAGCCTGAGTCCGGGATCAAGCGACTGTAAGTGATACGCTTCGAGAGTGCGGGGCTGCTCGCGCACAGCTGACCTGGTGGTTCACGCGGGCTCTCGCACATCTGGGCACCTGCTCCAGGGCCAGGCTTGTCACTAACCCCTCCTGCTGAGACAGGCTTAACCACGGACCACGTGGGGCCTTAGCCCTTGACTTTGAGTTCATCTCTGCGCCTGAACGCTATGTTCCAGCTGGGGGTCTGCAGGCAGAGAGGGTGGAAAGGGGGTGGGGCCTGGGGCTGAGGCTCAGGGCTTGAGTGTATCAGGTGGGGCGTGTCTCTGGGCAGCAAATAAGGCTGGTGGGGGCGATTTCACACACCCAAAGGGCCTGCAGCCCCAGCCCTGGTCCACCCCATCTGTGCATTTCTGTGATGACCCCCCACCCTTCCGTAAGGAAGTATTTATTCCTACATAATGCATGCAGAGTCAGGCCCTGGTTGCTGTGGGGAACACACAAGAAAGAACTCAGAATTGCCTTCAACCAGACTTGAAGCTACTTGAGTGGTTCTCAAAGACCCCCATGAGATTCGGAGTTTGTGGACCCTCTCCCTGGGGAGGAAGAGCCTCATATACAGCTATGCATACAGTTTCTGGTGTGCTGACCCCTGCAGGCCTTCAGATAAAGGGTGAAAATCTCTGCTGTGGGCGGCTAGTGTCTACTCAGAGCCTGCTGTGGGCCAAGTACCATATCCTCGAGTCCCCACGATACTCCTAGGAGGTAGAGGCCCTGTCATCTCCATTTTATAGTTAAGGAAACTGAGGCAGCTCCCTAAGGACATTGAGCTATTAAGAGGTAGAGCCTGGGCTCAAACCTAGGCAGCCCGGCCCCACAGCCCACGTTTCAGACTCTGCCGGGTGCGCACACTCACACTGTTGTCTTGTAGCCTTGTTATCTCCCCCAGGAGGGTCTTCCTGTTTCTTGGCTTTCCAGCCGTACCCATGGCTTATTACAGAAGAGGCCTCTCTTTCTCCCAAACTGTGGCTGGAGCTTTGTGGAAGCATGTGGCGTGGGTTGGAAGGCCACCAGGAGCGTGTGGGGAGAGCAACTGGGATGTTACTTGGGTGCCTCGACCTTTGCAAACCGATTACATTGGGAAGTTCTTGGCTAGCTCTGACCCTGGGAAGTGACGGGAAGGGCAAAGGAGAACGTGTGCAGCCTTGTGACTGTCTGAGCCTCTCCTCTTGGGAGGGGGTAGCTGCCCTCTAGAGTGCGCCCAGGAACGCGTGGCTCCTTCCCCAGCCTCTCTTGCCAGCTACGTTGCTTGTTTGCTGTGTGGAGTTCCCAGTTCTGGTTAGGGGTCGGCACTGACTAGGAGTGAAGCTTGGAACCAGAAGGGCTTCCTCCGAATCCCAACACCATTTGGCCACATACTGTTAATAATCTAAAATTGGCAGTTGAAATTCAACTCAGAGTAACTCAAGAAAAACTGTTGGCTAAGGAACCCAAAATTCCCAGGTCAGACTGGCTTTCAGGCTCAGCTGGATCCAGGCCTTGTCATCCGACCTCTTCCTTGTTCCCTCCACGTCTGGCTTGGTTTTCCTATAGGTGGGCTGTGTTCGTGGATGCTGTCCCTGAGGGTGGCAGCATTGTAGACATCACCTCAGGCTTCTACTTTCTTTGGTCTTTTTAGTGTCTTCACGTGTGCTGCACACACCACTGCCAGGACTGGACTTCTAAGACATATGCGTTTCTAAGCCTGCCTTCCAAAGCCGGGCTGTCCTGATTTTGTGGTTTTCTGCTCCAGCCCCCTTTCCCCACAGAAAGGCAATTAAGAGTTGGCTTTTGCAAATCCCAAACTGGGAAAAAGCCAGAGGAAAGTGATCAGAATTAGCCAGCAATCTTCTTCTTCCCATTGGTTCTTCTACCCACACCTGAAGAGGCTGTGTGTCAAATCCTCCTTTCTGGATTGTCCCACAAAGGATGCTCGGCCCTTCTCTCCTTTAGTGTGGCCTCTGTCTGCTCAGCAAGACCTAGGGCTCTGAGCCTGGCAGGAGAAGCAGCTGGCATTGGAGAGTCAGGGAAAGAGAAACAGAGAGGGATAGAGAGCAGGATCCCCCCATCCGGAGGGTGCAGGTGGCCAGTCCCGTGGTCACCCCAGCTTCTAGAGGATGACTGGAAGATCAGGCTGGCACAAAAGGCTTTTGACCAGCCCAGGCAGGACAGTGGTTGCCTTTGTCCACCTCGGCTGCTGACTGGGAGCCACATCAGTGCGGCCCAGGAGCCCAGAGCCAGGGGCAGGGACGAATCTTCCCTGGGGGCTGGGGGCAGGGCATGGCGGTTCTCCAGATGGTTCCATGCCTTCCTCCTCTTCTATCCCTCACCCCTCTGGCACCCCCTGAGGTCTGCTTGTCCCTTCAGCCTTGCTTTTGTGGAATGTTAATCACATGGCCTCTCTAGTAGAGGTCACGGCTGCTTTCCTGCCCTTGACCGGTTTCCCCCGTCCACCAACAAGTAAGCAGTAACTACCATGGAGGTTTGAAGGGGCTTCATCAGCTCACACCACCTGAACTAAGGTATCTTCCACCCCGTCAGAAGCTCAGAGCTAGGACGATTAACGCCATTTCTCAGATGCATCATGGGCCCGGAGAAGCCCACTGTGTTCCTTTAGATCAGACCATTGAGAAGGGTCAAAATTCGGGATTTGAACCCATGCCTTCCGCCTCCCGCCCCACCCCCATTTCCTCACCCCATGCCAAGTCACCAGCTGCGGGCGGACTGCCCAGTTCCCTTATCTCGCAAGTGCACCACGAGCCAAGGACGTCAGCCTCTACGTTTCTGGGCTGAACTGGTGAAGGGAAACAGACACTCCTGCCCCAGTCAAAACTGTACCCAGAACACGGTCCAAGAATAGCTTGTGACCCAGCAGCTGGGTCCTGGGAAGGTCACGAGGGAGCGCGGAGTGACTCCAGCGTTGTCCCCAGTGGCCACCAGGCACCAGCGCCCCCTTTGTGTGGCCCGTGTCTCTCTTCTCTCAGTCCTGCAGACACACACACACACACACACACACACACGCGCGCGCACGTGCAGAGCCGGGAGGCAGGAGGCAGGCAGCGGGGACACAGGGACAGCCACAGAAGCTATGGAGCAGAACAGCTGGTCACACACACCAGCAAGGGTGGCCTTCAGAGTAGGCGGCCGCGAAGCCTCAGACAGTCGTGGCAACAGTGCATTCTGTCCCTGTCCTCCTACCCACCGCCCTCCTCGCTTCAGCCCAGAAATAGCTCCCTCACAGCCGCGCGCTGCACCGCCTGAAATGCCCCTGCCGCAACTTCATTTGGATTGAGTTTTCTAGAAATCGTCAGTGGGGAGGGAGTAGGTAAAACCAGCTACACCATATCCAGGACATAAATGTTCCACCGAAACAAGTCAGCCTTTTTTCGCAGAAGGGGCTGTCCCTCTAGAGCACGGGGTAGCTGCAGGGAGGCACCTGGAATAGGGAAGGGAGGGGCCGTGCGTCCAGTAACACACACAGTCACTCGGCCAGAAGCCTCCAGGTGTCCCAAGGCCCTGGGCACCAGCCTGACCCCTGATGAGACCCCAGATGAAGGCAGACAAACCTGTCACCCTGGGTCTGGGGCCATCCTGCACGATGACTGTGTCTTCCAGGGCTGCTGCTAGGCTAAAAGGGGTCCTGGCAGAGGTCGGTTCAGAACCGTGTGGTTTGGAGCCCCTGTCAGCCTGGCCTTGGGGGATTGGGCCCACTCGTTTGACAAAAGGTATCCCCTCTTCCGTCACCATGAGAAGATACCCGGGTGGGTTCTGCCAAATGCCAACTGCCAGCTACTCTGTGAAGTGTGTCAGCGGTAAATCCAAACACAGATAATCCCCAGCCTCATCTGAGACAGTCATGCCTCTCCCTTCCCAGCCAGCATCTAAAAAAAAAAATCAAAGTTGTTCAAAATCAGCTCTGGTGGCTCGACTGGAGCGTCTCCATAGTCACCGTGAGCTCTGACTTCCGCAGGGGCGCGGCTTCTGCAGGCTCCTGCCTCCGTTCTCCTGCCCAGCCCCGCCGGGCCACCTCATCTTCTCTCCTGCACGCCCCCTGGCTGTCTTCTTCGGGGACCCGCACCCTGCAGCGTGTGGCAGTCGGGGGAGATGCACTGGCATGGAAGACACCCGCGGGTGTCACCGCTAACCCACAGTGGGTTTGACCCCTTCTTCCAGGCCCCAGGCCTGCCTCTCGGCCCCTGTCTTCCGTCGGGGCCGCTGCGGTCAGGGCTTCCACAAGCCAAAACGCTTTGTCTGGTACCTCGGGAGGCGAGGACCCCAGACGCAGGTGTCACCAGGGGCAGTTCCTTGTGAGGCCTGTGAGGGAGAAGGGCTTGTGCCTCTCCCAGCTTCGGGGCCTTACTGGCCCCCTTCGGCCTTTGCCGGCACGCAGAAGCATCGCCTGGACCCCGGCCTTCACCTTCACCTTGTGGTCCTCCTGGGGGCGCGTCTCTGTTCAGATTTCCCCCCTTTTAAAAAACTCCACTCTTCTCCAGTATAACTGTCTTAAAGGGCCACCTCTTACAAGGATCCTATCTCCAAAGAGTCGCTTTCTGAGCTACTGGGGGTTAGCACCTGCACCGTGAGTTTTGGGGAGGGGGACACAGTTCCACCCGTGACATCTCCCGTAAGCAAACCCTTCGGCCGGTCTGTGTGTGCGGTGTGTTTATTTTTCATGCCTCCCTGTTTTTATCTTCTCTGTGTCTATCTGTACTTCTCTAACCAGGATCTTTACAGCCGTAATGCCCATGGTAGCAGCTGGACTGATCTTAGACGACCCCACCCTGCAGCCCATCCGAAGACTTGTTTCCCTTGTAGGCACTGGGTTTTTGTGGGTTCGTTTGGAGCTGTGCCTTTGCAGTGTGTGCTGCGGCTCTGCTGAGGCTGGCCCGCCTTCCTTGGCCACTTTAGCTGCATGGCCGTCACTTGCGTGTTCCCGTCTGAAGTGGGTGTCGAGTGTGATTTCAGACGTGCCCTCATGAGGCTCTCGACCTGCACGAGCAAAGCCGTGGCGTTCCCAGCCCTGTCACCGATAATTCTTTTTGTCTTTTTTTTTTTTCCTTTCTGTTTCCATTCTAAAAACCACCTTGTCCACGATGCAGTAAAGAAGGTCCTTTAAGTGACGGGTCAGTAGTCAACACCCACTGTGACCCCCACCCCCTGAGTGACTCTAACGCTGTGTTTCCGACCTTCACGCCCTAGCTTTCTAAACCGCTTTTGTTTGCCAAGCCGCTGTCAGAAAGCCATGTGGCCGTCCTTAAAAGAGGAAGAGCAGGGGAGGGGACCCATGCTTTGTTTCTCTCTGTGTCCCCTTGGACAGGGAGTGGCCTGTGGCTTTCTCGCTTGACTCAGGTAGAGGAGAAAAGTAACAGTGATGTGTTGCCGCTGTGTTTTGGGCTCACTGACTGCCCCATGACACCATGGGAGGAGCTCGCAAGTAACCCAGAAGGACCATTGTGCCTCGGCTCGTCAGTGTACATGCCTGCTGTAGAGAAAAGACACTTGAGCCGGGAGGGGGAATTTCTCCAGATATCCTCAGCTGGCCCCAGCTTTCGAAGAAGAACCACTTTATTCCTGTAGGAGGTGATCGTAGGGTCCAATAACCGCAGAAGAGTAAAATCATTTGCACCCAAAACTGAACTGGATGGGCCACAACACTTAAAAGAAAGAAAAAAAAAAGGCTAATAGGTGAGCAGAGAGAACTAAAAAGAGTTGATGGGAAGTTTTAGTTTCTCAGCCGTGCATCCCTGTTCCTTCCTGCCCCGGGAAACATGACATAGCTATTATCTCTCCTACCAAGGTCAGACACCAAAATTCAAAAGTAGCAGAAATTCAAGGCGGGCTGCCTCAGGTTTGGTCCTGGTCTTCATGGAGGTCGCGCCAAAGCTGGCCTTGTTTGAAATGGGCCAGTGTTGGGGCGCCTGGGTGGCTTCGTCAGCTGAATGTGCCGACTCTGGATCTCAGCTCAGGTCGCGATCTCAGGGTTATGGGACTGAGCGCCCCAACATTGGGTTCCACGCTGGGCATGGGGTCTGCTTAAGATTCTCTCTCTCTCTCTCTCTCTCTCAAAAAATAAGTGGGCCAGTTTAGGGGTCCTGCCTGGCTCAGTCCATATAGCGTGTGACTCTTTTTTTAAAGAGGGAGTACAAGCAAGGTGGTAGGGAGGGGGCGGGCAGAGGGAGAGAGAATCTCTCAAGATCGTGAGATCGTGACCTAAACCGGATCAAGAATCAGACACTTAACTGACTGAGCCCCACAGGCGCCCTGAGCATGTGACTCTGAATCTCAGGGTTGTGAGTTCAAGCCCCACATTGGGTGTGGAGCCTAAAGGAAAATTTAGAAAGAAAAAAAAAAAGTTTTTTAATGGGCCAGTGTATAAGCTTTATGCCTGCGATTTCTTCTTTCATCTTTGAGGCATCAGATGGTTCACTCTGATCAATGATCAGTTGTCATAGCTGGTTTTATTTTCAGGTTTTTTTTTGTTTTTTGTTTTTTTTAGAGAGCGTGGGGGTGGGCGGGCAGAAGGAGAGGGAGAGACAGAATCTTAGGCAGGCTCTATGCCCAGCAGAGCCCAACACAGGGCTTGATCTCACGATTCTGAGATCATGACCTGAGCCACTCAGGTGCCCCAGGAAGCAGAGCTGTTTTAAAAAGCCCTCTTTGTCTCCATCAGCTGCTGCCACGTAGCAAGTTCTGGTGCTAACTTCTAAAGGCTTTCGCCCTTAAGTCAGTTTTTGACACTGTCAGTTGGTGTTTTCCCCAGTTTCATTCGCATACAGTAGTCACAGTGTTGATCCAATGACAGAACCATGTGTACTCTCCCTTATTTCTCAATTGTCTCATTTTTCTAAAATACCTACTTCCGCCTCCTCTCTAGCAGTAATATCCACGAAATCCGGGCTTTGGTGTGCTGCATGTGTACTTTCCTGAGTCATGTTACATGACAACTTAAATTGAAAACATTCGTCTCTTTATGTCAGGATCCTCTTAAACTCTGTGGCTTTCAGACTACCTTCTCCGCATCATTAGGATAAAGAAACTCCAGATGTCTGTTTCTAGTCGTCGTTTATTTCCACCGGTAATGGGAAGAGACTGTCAGCAGCACTTAAGTGAGAGAGGAGACACATCACACGTCACCTAGGTGCATGCCGCATTCACACTGTGTCACCTCCCAGGTTTGGGGACAGTAACAGGCAGAATCACCTTGCTGCTTTCTCGGATAACTTTGACCCACGGCCCCACTTTGTCTTTCCCACCTTGAATTGATTTGCTTCCTTCCACATTTGCTGCTCTGTGTCCTGGCATGGCAAAAACTCTCTACAGTGCACAGCCGAGGCCCGGCTCTAATTTCTTTCTTTCTCTTCCAAAAAGGTTTAGCTTCTTCTCCCGAGACAAGAAGCGTCTGGCCAACGCGCAGAGGAACGTGCACATCCAGGAGTCCTTTGGCCAGTGGGCCAACTCCCACCGCGATGATGGTTACACGGAGCAAGGACAGGAAGCCCTGCAGCACCTGTGACCACAGCCCCCGCCTCCCCCACCCCACGCCCTCGGACCGGAACTGTCCCCCGCCAGCACCCGCAGCGGAACCCAACAGCCCCAGGTGTCTCGACCTTGCACACCTCTGGGTTCAGAAGCACCCTCAGAACTGATCCCTCAAACAGACTGTCTCCTTTGAGGAAGCACACTGAAAAACTGACACCAGACTCGAAAGACATGTTTATTTATACCCAGGGCTCTCACCATTTATAATAGATGACTGATCCCTTAGGATATATATTTAATAATACCATGAGCAGAGGCCAGACTTTTGCATTAACTTCAGTAACACAAGCTTCTTTAAGCCAAATACATCACATGCACTGTAACTGCTGTTTGACTCGCTTTGTATGAAATTCTGTGTGTAGAGGTTTTATTAACACATTTGTCGTGCTCGAGTGGGAGGCAGGGAAGTGGTAGATTCTCATTAGATCATTCAGGAAGTTATCATGGTGGTAGCATAATAGGTAGGATGCGTCCTTCAGGTAAGCGGGGCCTCTGAAGTCACCAGGCGAGCTGGCCCCACTTAGATGGGAAGCAACGGAAAATAGGGACGACAGTCCCACCCAGAAACTGGGGATGACTTGCAAGAGAGAGCAGGGGTTCTCTTTTCTCACCTTGTTACTGACACTGCCTAGAGCATGTAGCAAGTGCCTTGGAACCAGCTGAGTTATGCAGTACTAACCAAACAAAGTTGCTAAGGATGAGACATTGCAACCTTTCTCATTTCTCATTTGTATTCCCCCCCACCTTGGCTTCTTTCTTCCTTTTAGCCTCCCATGTATCAAACACTTGGTCTCCTATAAAGAAGACGAGTGTGCTGGAGTGGATTTGGAATGGGGTGGAGGAGCCTAGGGGATACAGGACTTGGGGGGAAGGAGGGAGGCTCGCCAGTGCGAGGGTGGTGGGTGAAGCGACTGCTTGGGGACCACATGTCGGGCTGACTCATGGGGCTGGGGTGGCAGACAGCTAGAAGCCTGCATCTGGTGAGCTGGGGTTTTGCCCAAATAGCACTGTCTTTCTCCTACCCACAGAGAACCCAGGGCAACAGGCTGGGTGCTGACAGACTGAGAGAGGTAACATTTGCTAACAGAACACAAGTACATCGGATGGGTCCGCAGTCTACACATTGCTAAGAAACCATCAGGTTGGTTTACAGAGTCGATGGGAACTTCCCAGACTGCTGAAAATAACGATCAGACAGGATAATGTGGCTTTTGCATGGTGGTTCTCAAACCTGATTGGCCACGAGATTTATCAGTTGATTCGGAGTATAAAAGCAGGCAAGGAAGGAACCCCCTTCCCCTGGCCACCTTTAGTTGCCCTTTCCCCAGGAGTAGCCAGTGTTGCCAGTTTCTTGAGTGTCTTTCTTGAAAGAGCTTATAAATATACATGCGGTTATGTAACAAGATTTTTTTTTTTTTTAAACATAAATGGCAGCAAACTATATATATGTGCTATTCTGTACCTTTCTTTTCTTAGAATACCCTGGAGATGACTCCACATCAGTACTAAGACGTGGGTCTCAGTGTCCCCCAGGGACATTTGACAATGTCTGGAGTTGATTTTGGTGTTTTGGTTGTCACGACTGCTACTGTCATTCAGGGTGTAGGCTCCAGGGATTCTGCTCAACGCCCTACGATGCTCAGGACAGCACCCCACAACAAAGAATATTCTAGCACCAGATGTAATCGTGCAAGATGGAAGGACCCCTGGTCTACCATGTGGATGTGTAATTTGTTCACGTTTGCCCAGGCCCCAGCGATGGACAGAGAGCTTCCTTCCGATCTTTTACTGCCTAAAACAGCACCGCACACTTTCGTACATGTACGTCAGTCTGCAGAATAAACTAGAAGAATTACTTGTTAGGTGATAGGGTGTATGCCTTTGTCACGTGGCTACTGCTAAGATCCCTGCTATGGGGCCTCTACCAATTTTTTTGTTTTGTTTAGTTATCAGGACCCATACAAGATGAAGCCTGAATGTCAAGGATGGGGTCTGAGTGTGCATATTTGTTTAATCCATCCATGTTCTGGTACCCAGGGTTGATAACTGTGGCTCAGACGGCATAAACTCCGTGAGTGGATTTCTTTCTTCTGATGCTGTCTCACCACACGTGCTTTCTTGATGTGGACTGCTCTTTTAGCTGAAGGACCTCCCAACTCTAGCCCATAAAATACTTCTGGTGCTGTAATAGGGAGCGCTTTGTGAAACCTGAGTGAAATCAGAGGGGTGTTCCTGCACAGCTGTTTTTTGAGATGTGGGAGATGGTAAAATTCTGCACTGGAAATTTACAAAGGAAAGAGTCTGTTTTTTGGAAACTGTTCAAATGGCTAACGGCACTTTTTTTTTTTTTTTTTTTTTTTTTAGATTTTATTTATCTGACACAGAGAGAGAAATCACAAGTAGGCAGAGAGGCAGGCAGAGAGAGAGGGGGAAGCAGGCTCCGCGCTGAGCAGAGAGCCCGATGCGGGGCTCGTCCCAGGACCCTGAGATCATGACCTGAGCTGAAGGCAGAGGCTCAACCCACTGAGCCACCCAGGTGCCCCCCAACAACACTTTTAAGATAGAGCAGGTTCCCTTCGTAACGACGAGATTCACACTCGGAATGCAAAAACCTAGTCATGAATGTGTTGTCTTGATACGATGTCCTTTACTTTGCATGAAGCCTCTTGAATTTTAAGAACCTGAGCTTTCAAAGATACAGCCATTGGTAAAACAAAAATGCTAAGTGTCACTTTTGTGAAAGCCCTGTGAAGAGCATGGTAGTTTTCAAAGCCCTCAGAAACTGAGGTCAATATATCCAGCCCCCGAACAGATGGGAGGTTGGATGTCCAAAAGGGAGAAGACAAATCAATCAGAACCGGACAGCAGCCTTTCATTGATTTCACTTCTGTTTCATGCTCACTTTTTTTTTTTTTTTTTTTTTTTTTTTTTTTTTTTTAAGATTCTATCTATCCATTTGAGACAGATCCAGAGAGAAAGAGAGAGCATGAGCAGGGGGAGAGGCAGAAGCAGGGTCCCTGCTGAGCCAGGAGCCCTATGCCAGCTCGATCCCAAGACCCTGGGATCCTGACCCAAGCCAAAGGCAGATGCTTAACCATCACACTCTCTATGGAGCTTCATAAACCAGAGCCCCAGAGGCTTGCAACTTGGGTTTTTCATTTTAAATGCCAGCCTCCCTGCCCAAAACAGGGAAGAGAAAAAGGCAGTCAGCATTTACCTCCAGAATGGAGTTACATTTGTTGAAGAGTAGCTGACTGCTGACCTAGGCCACTGCTCACACACTGACTTTGCTACGCAGTTCTGGACATTCTCCCTGAATTCACTTTTCTATCCCTTCTTTACTTCAGCTCGGCAAGCCTTTACACTATAGACATAAAGATGGAAAAGATACAACGTACTCTGACCAGATTTGTGTTCCCAGGAGTCTGAAAGTAATGCAAATGATTTTTGGTCATCTTTTTGCCAAGCCCCCAAAACGGTCAATTCCAACAGAAAGGAGAAAAAGTCACAAAAACAAATTCTCTACTGCCAAATTAAGAGAGAATTCTCCACTGCCACATGCCCTTCTGTATAGTGCTGGTGAGGACAAAACTGTTTCTCAGGTTTATTAAATAATGGGTCCCGGGAACAACAAGATGAAATTTCATAATACCAGCATGTCCAGCTTAAACCGCAGTTCCATATTGGAAAGAAAACTTACTCCAGACTCCATCACCATCAGCAAGTTTTATTCAAGCACTGGACATACACACTGTATAAAAGCAACACAGATCTCTCTGTGCTTCTGTTTATGCTATGTCTTCGTCTGGGTTCTGGTGGTGGTGGTGAGCCTCTATTTACTTCGGTCCCTCTTCTCCCTCCCCTTGGCTCTGTCATCTCTGAAGTCCCTCTCTCTCTCCCAGTCACTTTCTGGCCACACCCTGGCTGGCTCTCTGTCCTGCCATCTCCTTTCCCGGCCACGGTCGTGGTCTCGGTCCCTTGTCCGAGAGTCCCAGTGTCTTTCTCGAGACCGAGATCGCTCCCGTTTTTCCCTTTTTCCCTCTCTGTATTGGTCATTTTTAACAATCGGCAAATTAATGGGTTTTCGGAAAGGCCGATCACGCCCCCCAAACCTTAGTTGCCCGGATTCCTTTTTCCCCCCTAGACCTCCTCCAAGTCGCCGAGGGATCCAGCCTTTGAGGGTCCTTTCCAGCTCGTAGTCAACAAATATCTCGTGCTGGTCAATAACCAGGCCGTCCGCATCCCGGTAGGCTTTAATCAGAGAACGTTCCTCCTTGTATTCGATGAAGGCATAGCCCTTGGAAAAGCCCGTGACCAAGTCCCTCACCAGCCTAAGCCGCCGAATGTCCCCATAGCGGGAAAATACTTCCTTCAACTTCTCCTCCTTGGTCTGCAAGTTTAGTCTTGCCACAAACAGGGTGAGGAGGGGGTCTCCTGTGACACCTTTGTTGGGGGTGTATCGAGCCAACATTGCCCTCCAGACGGCGCGATCGTGTGGGTCTTCATCCGTGCCGTCGATGCTGCCTGCTTTAAGCGGGTCATACTCCTTGGCAATGGGCATCCAGTCGTTCATGTTCTAGAAGGGATCACAGCAAGCCTTTATGGAGCACCTACTGTGACCTACTCATTTCATCCTTACAACAAACAACCCCAGGAAGTAGATACTGGTACTCCCACCTTCAGTAGGGAAGGAAGCAGGACCCAGAGCCAGAGGCCTCCCAGTCACAGAGTGGATGGAACTGTATCAAAGCCAGACAGTGGGGCTCCAAGACGTGGTCACCCGCTGCCTCACACTCCATCCCAGGAAGAAGCAAAGGGCAACGTGCTTGAGTTTGAACCATCCGTGTACCATCCAATTTAGTCACGTCAGAACACTCACCAACTACATTACAACGTGGCAACGCAGATCAAAATCCAGGCTCGCCTTTCAGACTAAAATGGTCATAGGAAAACCAGCCTGGGAACGGCTATGAAAAATGGTGTTTTTATTTTTTATTTTTTTAAAGATTTTATTTGACAGAGAGAGAGGGATCACAAGTAGGCAGAGAGACAGGCAGAGAGAAAGGGAGAAGCAGGCTCCCCGCTGAGCAGAGAGCCTGATGCGGGGCTCGATTCCAGGACCCTGAGATCACGACCTGAGCTGAAGGCAGAGGCTTAACCCACTGAGCCACCCAGGCGCCCCCCCAAAATGTTGTTTTTAAAGGCCCTTTACTGTCAAGTATTTCAAACATGTACCCACATACAGAATGGCATAGCCCTCCACAAACTCGTCACCTGACTCTGACCAACACGTGGCCAGTCTTACTTCATCTGTGCCTCACTT